ACATGTTTTACTGTCCACTAGAGATTTCTATCAGAGCTTAGGCAGGCATCTTTCCAGGCATCAATCACTCTTGGGGGGAAAATATCAGCACCCATATACAGCCACTCTGCATGTGTGTAGGCTGATGTTGGAGAAAGGAAGATGTGGAGAGACAGAAAGAGAGACGGAGGAAAGAGGAAGAGAAAGATGAAGTAAGGAAGTATGCGCGTCTGTGCCTTTAAGTGTCCCCAGGCCAGGGCCGAATGTTGGGAAAGTCGCCCAGTGCCTTTCTCATGACCCCTGAGGGGAGGTCTTTTTCCTTCTGGGTCCATGGATGGAGAAGGGACATCAGAGAAAGCCCAGGAAAGGGACAACCAACATATCTGCATATCCTCTATGCATGTGACGGCTGGCGCTGAGTCTCTATTACTCACTGTCCACAATGGCCTGCGCATAATCTTCTCACTGCCGCCCGCACTCTGACTGTAAGGATAATTCACAAATTCCCATTTTCACACATTTATAAGTGACAGCAACATATCCACATGTCTCCATGCAGCAAGCTACTGGCTACGTTTCTCCTATGCCACTTTCCCACAGTTTTTCTCATGTTGACACTAAAAATATGAATGTTTGTGTATATTTAAAAATAGTAGTAACTCAGTGAATGTGGGGCAGGAGTTGCAACTTGTCAAACCTCTGATGGTTAGCCTGAACATGGTCTTTAGAGGTCAAAGCAGCCTTTAAAATATGCAGCTAATACTGCCTCGCTCCACATTCTTTAATCACTGCATTAATCCTGTGAATGTGACTTTAATTAAGGTAATATAATTAGATTAAGGTGTTTACATGACCCCGGGCTTAATTGCAGTATTTTTAGAATCAAACTAAGATTGAAGTGTCAATGTACATGCCAGAGCCTCTGTTAACATTTTCTTGTTGGCAGTGCAACCAAATGACCGCTAAGAGATGCAAAATGTATACAAACATTCAAAATGACTAAAAAGAGTTGCAAAAACGACTCAAAGAGACACAAAACGACCACAAATTGACCACAAAAAGAGGCAAAAACGACACAGAGAGACATAAAATGAGTACCAACAAATGCAAAACGACTACAAAGTGTTGCAAAACGACCAAAAAGAAAAATACCAAAATGACAACAAAGAGATGCAAAATGACTCCGAACACACAGAAAACATCTATGGTGAGATGCAAAATGACAGCAGTTTAGTTTTGTATCTCTCTGTGTTGCTTTGCTCCTACACAGGAGCAGGCTAATGAAAAGACTTAAGCCGATAATTATATATTGATATTAGATATTTAGAAAAAGACTGAAATGAAGAAGCTAGGGTAAGATTTTTCAGCTATGTAGGACGTGTCTTGTACAGGGATGGCTCTCTCTTTACCCATCAGTGTGAGGTTGAACCTGCACTAATCCCCCATCAGGTTCTTGTTCTCCTTGGCCTTGTACAGTTCCAGTGGGTGTAAATACATGGGATTACAAGAGGCACTGGCACACTTGCGTAGACTGGCGATTGGACAGCAAACTGCCTCGCCGGAGAGGAAAAAGTGCACTGTTGTATTTCTGTGTCATTATGCATGTTCTGATAAATCCTTCAATCTCCTTCCCCAAATCAAAATTGCACCAGTTGCTAGGGACACATACATGAGGACTGCAGGCTTCAAACTGCTGTAATCCCGGCTCAAAGTGGAAAGGGGCTTTGCCGCACGTCCATTTGGTATTATTCTAAGAAATAGGCAATTAGAGATAAGGCCGTAGTTTTAAGTTAGGCAAACTGCATTCCATGGCCCTCCCTTTGGCAGTCTTAGGGGACATATAATATATTTTGGGATGACATGTTGTTAGGGTGACAATAGGGAGTGAAACAGGAAACAAACCAATGTTGTCATATTGTCATATATAGAGTATGTCAGTATGCCAAGCTTTAAGATATGCTGTGTTATAATGGGGGGAGGATCAGTGCCCTAAGTGGCCTCTGTGTTGAAAGAATACATGTAGCTAAAAATAATGCTTGCAACCCTCTCATTCACTACTCTAAATCACTGAGCGTTGCCACGGAAAATCAGTGGCAGCGCAGCTCCCCCCCCCCCCGCCCGCCACCCCATCGGAGCCTTTGAGGCTCGTATGGATTGACCTTGTTAAATAAGTAAAGTCCATTGTGGAACCCACCTGGAAAACAAATGAAGATGTTCTTTTGCCAGATGGCGTGTTCAGAATACAAGAGTAACTGTCCAGCGGTTGGTTGAGAGATAAGGCATGGCTTATACATCGCTGCCATGAACAACTGCCGTTCGATAAGGGGACATCTAGTTCCGAGATTACCACGTGTGTAAATGCATTTACATCTCACACACACTACTGATGTCAGGAATAAAACGAAGTAGCTCTTTCTATTGCACAGTCCATTTTATTGGAGCTGGGAACATCTAAAAATAGTACAAAATGGGGTTGTCCAGATTTCTACCTCTGGGGAGCCAGTGTCGATGCAGTCGCTCACACCATTCTAACACTGTCCTGGCAAACATACCAGCTCACTGACAGTTTGACTGGGAGTAACTTAGTGACAATTGTGTCCAAATCAGGCTTTCCAGATAACATGAGCCAGTCACTTCTAAGAATAACTCTAAGTCAAATGACGAGAGAGTCTTACACACATTTACTAGAAAAAGGAAAATAACACTAAAGAAAAGTTGAAATTCTCCCTGTATGTGATTCTTGAGTTGACTTGCCTAAGAACAAATGACAGGAGGGCAAATTCATTTAAGCAATTAGGATACAACTAATGAGGCACAGAACCTATTGAACCTAGGCTAATGTAATCAAATTAGCTAATCCAAACACAACTTTACTGAGACAATCTTAATGGGTTAGTGCAATTGAGAAGCACACTTGACTATTATGCAGTAAAAGCTTAATAGAAAAAAGATACGACTGCTGGGAGGAAGAAGTTTGGTGTTAATTCAATTAAGAAAACAAACAATGAACTTAACAGGAGGACAATATTCAAGTTCAGTTGCATGCCACATCCGTTGCCTGCACTGTGAACATAGCCTTATACATATGCTAACATCGCTGCTAACGTTAGCTTGGCTAGTTTCTCAGAAGACCCACATGTCCGATGACCAAAATCCTTCATCTGGTTCAAATATAAAGTTAAAAACCACCAAGATCTGAACAGTGTATGGTAAACAACCACAAAGGGGATATGACGCCATTGACAGGCGACCGGTGCATTTTCCTGCTCTGCTCATTCATTCAGGTGTTTCCTTTAATTTGTCACATATATCTATGAGTGTGTAGATGTGAGTCATCTGAGATCACATGTGAGGGCTTTTTTTCTTGACGTGACCATAAGCACTCATCAACGTCTACTGATGTCGTCTGCAGTCTGATGAAATTCTCCGGCGCTCTGGTTTTGAACTGAAACATCACATGGTTTTATCTTGTTTTTTGGAGGACGTTTGCTCACTTCCTGCTCTAAAGAGCTCGGCCTCATTGGGGACATCAAGGAGCCCTGAGTCTTCCTGTTGCCGCAGGCTGCTATTCATGAACATTTCCTCTCTGTATCTTGACCACTCAGTGTTTTCAGGACACACCTGCGGGGCGATTGATGGCGAGTCAAGCGCTGAGGTCAAGGTCAGCTGTGGGTGCTTTGTCCTGTTGTGCTGTGACACTGAATCACAGCCTGCTGTTAAAACTCTAGGTTAGTCACTAGGAGACATTACAACCAGTCACTCCTTGAAACGCCTTAAAGGTCTCCAAACCATAATATCATCACAGAGGTCTCTGTGTGGTAAACTGGTCCCATTTCTCAGGTAAAACCCCTCCCTCGGGGTGTAACAAGCGAGCCTGAGATTGCCTGTCAGCGCATGTGATTGTTTTGGCAACAGCGCTGGAAAGCACACACGGGCTTCGGGCAGCCGAGAGCAGAATGAGGCAGAATGTGAAGCTCCTGCTTGCTTTCATGTCTCGCAGGCCAAATGAAAGTCAGCAGCCTGTCTGGAACTAACACGCACTCACCTGAAGCAGACTTAAATGGATATCTCCTGTTCTTATATATGAGAGCAGGGGGCTTCGTGAGAGAAGCCTGTGGCCAAGTTAAAAGTGAATGTCGGCCATTCATGGCTGCCATCGACAAAAATGTTGTTTCTGCTCAGTGTCGAGAAAAGAGGAACGATGAGGTGTTTCATTTCAGTGTCTTGAGCCGATGAATGCAAACGTACAGGAATTCCTTGTTGCTATTTAAAGAGGATGATTTCCGGTTGAATGTGCCTTTATATGACCTGCAGCCTCTCAGGAAGGAGTCATACAAAACTTCTCTCAATCTGTCTAACATATCTTTTGAAAAGTCCTGACAAATCATACTCATCTTTTCCTGTAAAATGTAAAACAACTTCTACCTGAATTAATCATATAAAACTTCCTTTAGCAGCGCCGTGCCCCCATTTCTAAATCAAAGCGATGGGGGGAAAGTAGGCTGCGTGTGTACTGTACGGCTATGAGTGAAAGTAGGAGTTTAATACATTGCTAGAGAGAGTGATGGCAGAGCCGGCGTTGCAGCAGCTATAAAGGGATTATTCTTCCCTGGAAGACATAATCATGTGTAACACACTTGTTTCAAATCCTGTGAAAAACAAACAGGTGTTTCAGCCTTAAATCCGCCTCCTTCATCCTCTGGCACACATACAGCAGAGAAACCCCCCCCAGAAACAGACATGTTCTGTTATTTCCTCATTAGGCTCAGGATGGTTTCAAGAAATACACCTTGTCTGGAGATATTTTTAAAAGTGCACTGACAGGAGCTGATACACTGGGTGACAATGAAAGTGCTGAATGAATGTCACCTTGGGACCAATTTTAGGTCCAATATTTGCAATGTCTTCAAAAAATAAGTAACACACATATGTGCGTTAAGTGTATTATCTGGGGTATGGAGAAAAAAACACACACACAAACACACACACTGAATAAGTGTGAGAATAAGTTGTGCACTGACCTGAGAGCCCCCACAGGAAGGTGAAGGAGAGCAAAGTAAGTTTCCTGGAAGTGCCACAGACCTCCATGGTGGATGCAGCCACAGTTTCCACTCGTGTTAATGTCCTTCACCCGGCTTTATGTATGAGCTCTGTCTCGCCTCGGGCAAAGCTCCTCAAGTCCGTCAAGTGCTTTTCCTTCAATCTCCCGGCAGACGTTAGTCGGGGGAAAGGTAAGGGACACTTCAGGTGAGGGAATGTGGGGGCCGTCTAATCCCAGCCGCCGCGGGAATCCTCTTCTCCGACTTTGTCGTGAGATAATAAAGTGTCAGTTGGATCAACACCTCCGACTCCGAGGGTCTTCCGCGACTCTTCTCCCTCTCCTCTTAACGCTCGGCTGCGTCCGCGACTCTGTCCTTATCGAGACGGCGGCGACTCCAACTCTGCAACTTGTCATCCTGTGTCCTTTCCTGAGAGAGCGAGAGAGCTAGAGCGAGACAGGAGAGAGAGAGAGAGAGAGAGAGAGAGAGAGAGAGAGAGAGAGAGAGTGAGTGCCACCTCCGCGTACGAGCTGGCGTCGATTGTAAGACAAGTTCCGGTTACGAGCCTCAAAATAAAACCCGCGGTTTGCTTACGCGGTTTTGGAGAATGGCTTGCGTGGCCGACCGCTCTTATTTTGAAAGCAAACGTGATAACATCCGTTATTTTGCCGCCTCTGTTTTACAGCTTGACGCAGGTACACCTGTCCTCTGGTCCGCAGCGTTATGTGCAGGTGCAAACATTATTTTTCAAAGTAATTCAGAATATAATTCACAAAATGAACAATGGCGGGTTATTACAAGCACAAAACATGTGATTCAATGACCGTAAAATGACAAATACGTTTACATGATTAAAAACGATCCTTGTCTTTTCCCAGTGTTCCTCAAAACCATTACATTAAAAACAATGTCAGACAAAGCAGCAGTGTTAAGCTGCAGTAGGTCATTTAAAAAAAAAAAAATCTCATATTTTCGGAAGCTTTCACTATACAGTAGTGACAGACAGAGACAGACAATCAGTGAAAACATCAGGTCCATCTGTCTCCTATCATAAATACATTTCATAAACAGCAGGAAATAGATTAATTGATTATTAAATAATTTGCTTGTGCCCAGGAAACATTGTCCCAGTTCAAATGTGTCACCACTGACCTGTTATGTCCTGAATTTGCCTCTTAATAAGTTAAAGGGCAAAAAAGTGGTGTTTCATCAGATTCCAGGCAGGCATACTCATGTGCAACTTGCCAGTTCCAAATACCCTGGCTCAAGCTTTTTCAACAATAAGCCTATTTCCAAACCCACACAACTAAAGCTCCATCCTTTTCCCCAGTCTCCCCTTGAAAATCTTCAGCTCCTGTTCCATCATGTGTGAAGGCGTGGGTCTGAAAGCAGAGGAACAGACTGGACTCAGCTTGACGTGAATTCCCAAGGTGAGCTCACCCTCCCTGATGTAAAAATATGGACTGACCTGTGCTCTCCGAGGTAGTCAGACCCCTTTATTTCATTTCCTAAGGTTTCCCAGTTGCCTCAGCAACAAGGGTGAGGCTAATGCAGGAGGACTGCTCAATTATGAGAGGTGAGCAAGGGTTATTCCTGTGATTAAATCCAAAGAAGCAGGGTCCAAGCATCATGGGAGTAGGATTTTGTTGTGTTGTTGTAAATTGCATCTGGGCCTCCAGCTGAAATCTACAGCATTCAGGGGAAAGCTGTCAAAACAGGCCTGGTTTTTTGTTTTTTTGTTGCTGCAAAAAATAATTTGAGCAGGGCAGAAAGGCTAATACTGGATTCTGGACTAAACTGCTAATCCAAACACACACAAACAGAGTCTAGTCAAATGATGAGCAAACTTGACACCTGGAGGTCAAACATATTGCTTGTGCCAATTAAAGGACCAGTGTGTAGGATTTAGTGGCATCTAGCTTCAACCTCCCCTTCTAAGTGTGAAGAAGAAACTACAATGGCCATGAAACACACAAAAGACACAAGCAGTCCCATCCACAGCCAGTGTGTGGTTGGTCCGTTCTGGGCTATGGTATAAACAAGGCATATAGCATACATCCCAAACATATTTTCAGGTGATTATACACTAATTAAAAAAAACCTATGAATATGTAATACACACCATGTCACATCCAGATGTTGTAGCACATAATATATATTATGAATACACTGTAAAACAAGTTGATTTAACAGATTACATCAAAAACAAATTTAATTTGACAAACTCAATTGTGTAAGTTAAAAAGATTTTTGATTAAGGAGCCTTTACCAGTAATGTTAAATGACATTAACTTGGCTTTGTATGTTACTGAAAAATTCCTGATTAAGAAGGTTTTTCTTGGTCTTTGGTTTTCATGGTAGAAATCATTTCAGTGTCATTCCAAAGCTACTTGATCAAGAATGTTTTTTAACTTACAAAATTTAGTTAGTTTTACGTAAAAGTTTCAATGTACTCTGTTTCAACACTTTTTTTTAAATGAACTTGTTTGGTTTTACAGTGACTAGGGGTGTTAGAAAAAAAATTGATACACTTGAGTATTGTGGTTTTTGTATCTATTTTTGTGTTTAAATGTTACAGGGACAATGATGGATACAAATGCAGATGCCACTGTTCTGGCTGCATAGAAAAAGATTTTATGCATACTAGAAATGTAAAGATATATCACGAGACAGTCAAATCACAATAGAAATATGAGAAGATTGTAACTTTTGACTTTGCTTGTGCGTCGTCCTACGTCGTTCACGTGAGTAGCTGTATCAAGCCAAAGCTTCATGGGGGGGTCGCAAGGCCCTTTTGATTTTAAAGCGTGCTACAAAACTTACACAGTAGGCCTATACCTCAGCATTTGGTTCACTTCTGTGAAGAAAAGTAAATGTAAAGTAAATTGAATTCATTAATAATAAAATGTAGGCCAAATGTCAGGGACAATA